TAATATATCCTACTACCTGACAGATATCAATTCGATTAGTGTTGTAAAAAAAAGTCTCTGTGACAGCTCTAAACTCAAAACAGTAAAAAAGGGGAGCAACCCACCCTTTGTTGAAGGAATGGTGGAGGTCTAAATTTAGTGGCTGGCAGAAGTTGCCAAACAAACACTTACATTACGTTTAAAAATTGAAAAAGGACAAGTCTCCGGTGGATCTATATTCTATAATCTGCTGTTCTAGCCATATATATATATACCAGGGGTGGCGAACTCCGCTCCTGTAGAGCCGCAGGCCCTGCAGAGTTCAGCTCCAACCCTAATTAAAACTCACCTGCCTGTAGCTTCCTAGTAACCGTTCAGACCTTGATTAGCTTGTTCAGGTGTGTTTGATTAGGGTTGAAGCAAAACTCTGCAAGGCCGCTGCGGCTCTCCAGGACCGACATTCGCCAACCCTGATATATACATAGAGTTTGGGTGTTTTATTAACATGGCCACTGGGTGGCAGCAGCATACTTTGCTACGGCAGCTTGGGCAATCAATGTGCACATGGCAAACACATCACGGTCTCATACAAACAGTGCCACGGGTAAGCAACTAATGAAGGTGCTGCAGGCGAGGCAATAACGTGGAACTGGGAGATTAAAGTCTGCTCAGGGCCTTGTTCCGACAAATAAAGAGACGGCAGAGAAGAAGAGAGGAGAGATGGGGAGAGACGAGCCAGAAAGAAGAGCAAAGAAGAGCGACAGACCCCCTCCCTCCCTCGACCACTCATTCCAGAACACACACACATAGACAAATTCGTCACTACGAAGAACACAAAGCAGACATAAGTGACACATTGCCTTTGACAAAGCCAAGTTACGTCTATATTAATCACGCAGTTCTTCCTTGGAGGTTATTTCCCACCAATCAAACAAAATTGAACACAAACACTAAAACGGTTATAAAAGCAGACACAAAAACAGCTCTAATGACGTATCCGCTCGGCTGGCGAAGCTCTTTGTAAACTAGTAAGAAGGTCAAGCGTGTTTCTGTGCTTATCGTATTAACATGCTATTCAAAAGCGCGGCTTAATTGCTGCTTTTTGACAAGACGACAAGTCTCAGAGCGAACAGACCCAGATGCTCGGCTAAAGAGGGAGACGTGACCGAAGAATCGCTTTTGAAGCTCATTTGGTTTTAGAAATAAGACTGGCGTCAATTACGCATTGGCACAGGTTGAGCTCCTGCAGAGTAGCTCTCATTAAGTTTTAATTCAAACAAGAGGGGCTGATGTATCAAGCCCCTAGACATTTCTTCCACAGACTCTGTGACATTTTGTGCCCACACTTCGTTTTACGGCAAACACGACTGGCCTTTTCTCTCTTGCTTTTCCTTCTCTGATTTTCTCAAGTGTTCGCCCCATTGAGAGCACCTCCTTTTGTATAATTCAATAAACAGCTGTCAGAAAGTGTAAGGCAAAAAAATGTGAAGGCTGAAAATGTGTAGACAAACTACACTGTGCTGCTCATTGTTTAGGGAGAATATTGCTGTGAAGAAAAAAAGAGTTGTGGATCATCTCATTTACCAAGTATGAGAACGAGTCTTGACGCCTGATGCAAACAGAACAGGAGGACAAGTCAACAAATCTGCTGATCAAAAACACTGGATTTATTTAGAGATAGATTTAGAGGCATACATCAACACTCGCCAAGCACCTTATGTGAGCAAAAATTGGTTTAATTGGTAATAATTGGTGAGTACATAACATGCCAGTTGCAGTAGCGGCTCCTGACTGTAAATTTAGGTGGGGCAGATTCTGGGTCGTAGCGCGAGATGTCCTTGTGTTATACTGTGAGCTAATGTTGATTGACAGGCTCGAAGTAATGTTACACGCATAAAATGCTGTATAATAATTGCCTTAGTATTTATCACCCCCAAATGTTGATTTAGATGTTACAAGTTGTGGAGCAATTCGGGTGAGGAAAGAAGATCATATGTCTATTCTCAGAATAAACAAAACAAACACAACAGAACCATATAAAGGCTATTCATGTGAGCACATTTAAACTAAAGGATTTAACGTATAGTCTACTTTGTTAATTTGATCCACTACTCCACATAGAAACAGACATGCCAACTAGTTACTGACCTGATGTAGACACATAGCTGAAGCGGACTGATATCGTCTTGGTGGAGCGAGGTTCACGTACGGTCTGCCCCAATGGCTCTCAATTAGAGCGCGCTGCAGTTCCCCTTTTCACCACAGATTTACGTTGCAAAATTGTGGGGCGCGGTTGAATTCGGGAGGTCTCAGGCACCATCTGCCCCGCTTAGTATCATGCATGCATGCCTGCTAAAGCCATGCACGGGATTTTAATATTATATACTGCTTACTTTACGACTTAAAATAGTCTAGAAAATCCGAAAAATATTTGTTGCAGAATGCTGAACACATTTACAATTTATTATTGATTCAGTTTAGAGGTCTATATTTTGGATGAATATTTTGCCCCACCTGCCCATATAGACGAGCCGCGCCTGGCCAGTTGGCTGGTAACTATTAGGAACGTTAACATATATTAGATAGTTGAAATCGAATTGTAACAATGATCTGACCCTTGTCGATGTAAGTGACCTGAGCAAATAGAATCGACACTTCTATCTTATGACATTTAACTCAAGAGGGGAAGATACAATCAGAAGTACTCGATGTGGCGTAACTTCACGAACTGCTGCAGCAAGACTATGGGATGTTTATGCAGCAAAAACCCTGAACATCTTTCATCTGGTGTTTTTCAGAGACAGTAGAAAGGTTTCTTAAATGTCCTATGTTATTGTATTCTCTCTCTCTCTCTCTCTCGCTCTCGCTCTCTCTCTCTCTCTCTCTCTCTCGCTCTCTCTCTATATATATATATATATATTAGGGGTGTAAAGATACAACAATGCCACAGTTTGGTTAATATAACGGTTTTGGAGCTATGGTTCAGTTTGGTTTGGTTCATGGTTGTAGAATTATGCACAATGCCCACAGTCCCGCAGCAAAATTCAGGCCCTGATTATATTGCACAAAATCAAGCACAAGTGAACTTGAACTAAGTTACGTAGTCAGAATGTGTAACAACTTCTATGCGCTTTTTGTAACAACACGCTGAAAACGTCAGCTAAACCCTAAGAATTCACAACATTTCTTTACAGTAGTGCTCTCATTATAACGTTAAGTATATGACAGTCCTAAGTCATAGTTATTAATGTTCTGCTGAAGATCACCAGTACAATGAAGCACTTTGATAGCGGGTTTTTAATCAACGGGATTTAACTCATCAGATTTATCTCATATAGGATACACTTCGTTATTTATATTACATAACCTTAATATTACGACTTATATCTGCACAAAATGACCCGAATGCACAAGTGCAAGTGAACTAATCCCTTATCTATCAATCTTGCAAGTGAAGTGCAAGTGAAGTATGCTGCTCTGAATGTTTAACTCCTGTTGTGGATGCGTTGTGGATGTTCTCAAATTAACTTGCATTGTCAGGTGTAAAAATGATTCAATTTTGGGCCCTGGATTGATTTTTTGCCTGAAGCCTGAAACATACTCTACGAGAATCGATGCTTCTAGCTACACAAGCTCTGATTCATGATTCGTTGAAATGTGTCGGAGCGATTCATAATGCAACACAACTGCTTGTGCAGTCAGTTTTTTCTTACTAGATCCACAACTTGGCAGCAAGCAGTTACTTGAATTAAAAACACATTTGATCTAAACCTTGAGAATTAAAGCAAACATGTTCCTCAATGTTTTTGTAATGGTTTGGCACGAGCAGCTACCTGTATCCATCGATGCAGCTGGCATTGATGTAGTCAGACCCCTCCACTCCTCGGATTGGCTGCAGGCACACCCGTGTGGACTCAAAAGGCATGATATTGACCAGCCGGTTCTTGAACTTGTTGCAGGGCAGGTTGGCACTGATGAATCGTGAGGTGTGGGCTTTGGAGTTGGCGAGTCTCTGTGGAAACAGTGTTGGGTTCAGAGCTTGAGCGTAAAGAAGCTGGCAGAAACATTATAGTGGAAAACAGTCTGAAACAGAATATTTTGTTTAAATGTGGGGGAGCTGTGTCCTATAGAGCAAAATGGCACTAAAGCGTGTCTGTTGTGATTGTAAATTGAAGGTGAGCTCTGCAGCAGTACAGAGGGGTGTGGGCGTAACAGTCTGACTGGGAAAGTGAGGGCGTGACTGGCAGCGGGGAAGAGAAAGCACAGATGGACATCAGCAGAGAGCGCGTAGAGACTGTTGGCTGTACTACAAGCTCTGTCTGTACTGCAGTCTTTGCGCCAGATGCTGTTTCTACTTCTAGAACCCACTCTGAGTTAAGCATTCTAGTTATACCAGCATTCACTTATATCCCAACAGCAATATTAACAGATGGAATAGTAAAGCATTTTCAATAAAACATTTATAGAGTCATTAGGTTTGTTTACATGCGCGTTTTTGTCAATCCGAACAAATCCAATCCGATACCAGATTCTGAATGTTTGGTTTATGAGTACCCTAAACTTTGCATTCTGATTCACATATTCATTCATGTGCATTATATTATAGTTATATTACAGTTAACTAAAATGAAAACAATTTTAAAAAGTTACTTGAAATAAAATCTATGTTTTATGTTTAATTATTTTTCTCTTAATTTAGTTTACACTGATGTACTAAAACTAATAAAAATTAAGACTATCTAGACTATTAAAAATAACTACTAAAAATGACAAAAAATAACGAAATTCTTAAAACTTTAACTAAAATATAAAGTAAAAACTAATGTAAAATATTTAAACTAGTGCTGTCAAACGATTAATCGCGATTAATCGCAGGAGTATAATGCAATTATTCTGTTGAATATTCATTTGAAATACATTTTAAATCAATAATTATTTAAATAAATATCATTAATAAAATATTGCACAGCTGTATGGAGTATAATGCAATTATTCTGTTTAATATTCATTTGAAATACATTTTAAATCAATAATTATTTAAATAAATATCATTAATAAAATATTGCACAGCTGTATGGAGTATAATGCAATTATTCTGTTTAATATTCATTTGAAATACATTTTAAATCAATAATTATTTCAATAAATATCATTAATGATTAACTGTTTTATATAATTAGTCAAATGTTTTAACTTGACAGCCTTAACTAAAACACAAAAGGTGGTAAATTACACATGAAACCTAACCTTTTCTACCAATTCCACCAAGCAAAGCTACAACTGTTCACTTTACAAGAGAGTTTTATAAGATCCGAACAAAGTGAAAAGGTCAGCAGTAAATGAAAGACTGGGGACCGGCACTAACCTGCAGTGCACTACCATGGGTCCAGCATCGGGAGGGTTGCAGGCTTTGACCCTGCGTAGGAAGGCTAGGATGGGGGTGGGGTATTCAGGCACTCCGTGGTCTGGCCAGGCCATGAACTGGAACTGCCTGACCTCGCGTTTCTCGCTAGAGCCATTCTGTTTGAACAAAGTGGGAGAAAGGAGCTTAAACTGGCTAAAAATGTGGAAACTTACTATACGAGAGGAAAAGGCAAGCAACTTTTTACCTTGTAAAGGGCAAAGGTGCGCACACTGTAAGTTGCCAACTCAACAGCATCAAGCATGGTCACTTGGATCATTCCGCAAGTCTCTGTGCCACGAACAGGCCAATACTGGTCACACTTGACCTGTTTAAGAGAACAAAAATGAAAGAGTCAAATAGTGCTGGAGTAAATGCTGTCAGTCCCCTTGAAATTACAGAAACTTAAAATTGAAATAAATGTTTATTGTTATTTAAACAATATATACAGTATGTATATATATATATATATATATATATATATGCGGAACGAAAGAGCGCCAGTCATTTGAAGCGCGCCACTCGGAGCGTTTATCCGCTCGGATCAAAGTTCAAACAGCGGCGCGAGCTTCACTAGAGCAGATGTGTTCTCTTGCTGATGAGTCTTGCTCACGCGACACTGAACAGCGCTGTGAGATCCAGTGTGAAGCGCTTGAATTCAACGAGGAACACAAATAACTCTGTTTACACGCAGATGAAACAGCGCTGACAAACAGCAGAAACACTGTGCTCAACGATACAGTCAGAAGACTTTTTATTCTACAAATCGCCATCATTTACCATGGATTTACTGTAGTAACACTAACTGCACCATTTAATTATTGTGTATTGTGTATTGTGTCAGAAATGTGGGTATTCGTGTCGAATTTTATTATATTATTAATGTAGACATTTATTAAATATATTGAAGGAGAAGTAATGGAATATAATTACAGTATTTTTTGTGATTAAGCTATATGCATTTATACATGTATTTAGACTACTGTTTCTCATAAATACCTACAAGTTAATAAATAAATATTTTTTTACCATGGTATTGGGGTGCTACATTTGTGGTTTTAACTGTGATTATCATGTGACACTGAAGACTGGAGTAATGGCTGCTAACAACTTTGTCAGCACAAGGATAAATTATATTTTAAAATACCAAAACATGAAACTTTTTTTTTTTCACAATAGTACTATTTTACTGTATTTTTGATCAAATACACGTAGCCCGACTTTCTTAAAAAAATTAAAAATAAAATAAATAAAATAAAAAAAATCTCTATATTTACACTCGTAAAATTACAATTAAATCTAACTGTTCAAAAGTTTGTGGTTGTCTTTTATGCTCACTAAGGCAGCATTTATTTGTATCAAAATACAGTCAAAACACTAGGAAATATTAGTACCATTTAAAAAATAGTAAACAAATCATTCAGGAATTATTCTAATATCCTGATTTGGTGCTTTACAAACATATATTATTATTATCAATGCTGAAAACAGTTTTGCTGCTTAAAGTTTTTATGGATTTTTTTTTTGATGAATAGAAAGTTCATAAGAACAGCATTTATTTGAAATCTCTTGTAACATTATAAATGTTTTTTGATCAATTAAATGCATCCAAATTTTACTGACTCCAAACTTTTCAATGATGCGTCAAAAACAAAGTCAAAATCTATAATATCAGCTGATAACTAACATGGTACTGATATATCATGCATTCCTAAAAAGCACCTTAAAAAATAATTTTCTAAAGTCATGCTACAGCATTGTGCGAAAAACAGAATTAAGTTGTTAATTAACATGTAATTAATATTATCAGGTAACACAAATTTGTTTCTTGATTTGAAACAATATTACTCATTACTAGAACATGCAGAACTAAGAAATTATTTGTTTCTGTTAAGATATTTATTTTGTTAAGGAAAAATGACTGGAAAAGTGTAAAAGTCAAATTCAAAAACGAAGTGTTTGTCATGGTCTGACCATAAAGAATAGTTTAAAACCACAATTAACCATCTGGTTTTTACAACTTTCACATTGGAGCAAAAATCTGCCTTTTAAACTTGAAAGAAATAAAATTTGACATTTATCGTGACAAGTATCGATATCGACTGATATGAAAAAAAAATATCGTGATCATTTTTTGGCCATATCGCCCAGCCCTACATTTAGTTATGTCATACCTTGACATTTAGTCATTTACATTTACATTTAGTCATTTAGCAGACGCTTTTATCCAAAGCGACTTACAATTGGGTGATACATAAAGCGATTCTTCTTAAGAGGCAAACAGACACAGGAAGTGGTTGTAATACCAAGTTCTTAGACATTGTTCAAATAAGTACAAGCTAG